TTGATTCTATGATTCTATGATACACAGGTTTCCATACAAGAATTCTTGCAGCTTTCCTGAGATATGACCTTTATTTTCTGAAGCCAGAAAGGATTTGAGGAGGGAAGGCATTTGCACATTTACGTACATATCCAGCCCATATACCAGCCAGGCAGAGCAGAATTATGACACAACAAAATACCTGAACATACATAACTGAAATAGGTGTATGACAAATATTCAGGGAACATGACACCTGCAGAGCCCAGAAGACCTCAGACCTCCCCTGCAGGGGTAGTAAAGTTGTTTTAAGCAGACCTAATAAATCTGAATTGTCCTGAAGGAATCAGATATGCTGTGTGTGTACTAAACCACGTGTAAACTCATATTTCTGATCCAGGAATCTCAGACAGCTTTATTTTTAGAGTAGGACTATGTGAAAATTCGTGCTGGATTCTGCTCTAAGAATCAACAGGATTAGGTAGAAAAGCCATTCCCTTAGGCTGATCCAAAATTAGACAAAACTCTGACAGCATCCATAATGGCAGATTACATAAACTGAACCATGCAAGATAAGAAAAAAGTTATTTTCTATTATGAGAATATAGATATTAATGGGGCATGTGTTTAAGTAACTCTGTAGACAGATGTAAGGGAAGACTTCCTAGAGGATATTTGAACTGTACATTTTACTTTAAAAAAGGAAACATAAAACAAGACTAACTGTACTGCTGATATTTTTATACCCTTAACTGACAATGAATGTTTTATCCCTTAATGGCAATGCATTTCTAAACTGCAGCTGCTGTCTTGTGCTGCTTTTCTTTGCAGGTGGCCTTTTTTTTGCAAAACCAATGCGATCCAGAGGTTATGTGACAATGCTAGACCCTTTTCAGCAGCTTTATGGAAAAAGGATGGGAGGACTACTGTTTATTCCAGCTTTAATGGGAGAAATGTTTTGGGCTGCTGCCATCTTCTCTGCCTTAGGTAAGGAATAAGCACTATAAATATTAATTTATCACAGGTAGAAAGGATTAAGAATATCGGAAATGCATTAAAATTCTGTTCGCTGTTCAAGCCAAATGATTCAGGGTGTGACAGTTCTAAGACCCATGCTAACTAGTAATTAAATCCGGTAATGGTACCCCATTAATTACTTTGATAATGGAAAGACATGCAAGGCATCTATTCATTTTCATGTACCTTTAAGTTGTCCCTCTACATAAGCATGAGAAGATTTGGCAACACATTAACTGTGAGGGTGGCACGAGTTATTGCAAGTGCCCCTTTTGTGTCCAGTCTGACCCAGCTTCTTTTACACCCCTGGGATCACAGAAGCCTTAATGATATCAAACATCATTGCCAATGCATCAAAAAAAAATAATACTTTGCCGGGGAAGGTGGTGGATTCACCATCCCTGGAGGTTTTCAAGCTGAGACTGGATGTGGCACTTAGTGCTATGGTCTGGTAACCACGGTAGGGTTGGACTTGATGATTTTTGAGGTCTCTTCCAACCTGGTTGATTCTATGATTCTATGATAGAGAAGATCTACATATGCAGAGCTTTCCGTAGCTCAAGTAACAGAAGTAAACCAGATGCTGAACAAATTGAACAAATTGAAGAATTCTTCAACTCTAAATGGCTTTCATCTTGACAAAGTGAAGAAAATACTTAGGACTCAAGAAAGGATTCAGAGAATTAATGAAACTATGACTCAATAGAAAATCACCCAACTACTCATCCAGTCTTGAGAAAAAAAATCAGCTTCCAGGGTTTTTAATTATACTTCAGACCTGAATTTAGCAATCCTTCCAAGAACTGAGAAAGCCCTTGACTTGAAGCACCAGTAATTGACTTTTACCAGCTAATCATACTAATAATGCACATGCATGTGGTAATGCTTTCTAGCACAAGCTATTTTAAACAGAAAATAAACTTTGAAGGTACTCTCCAACTGTGCAATGATGAACTGCAAAGCAATGGGGAGCTTGTTTACCACATTTTCATCACAAAACCCTTAAATGACTTAGAAGAAACTACATGCTGAGGTGATAGGAGTCAAATAACTTGAAGAACACTCTGAGTGTTTGGAATATACTTTCTTTTTGATTGGGGATAAGCCATTCTGTTCTATTTCGATGCAAAGGGTGTGAATACCTTTCTAGATTTATATTGTCAATGATTCTAAAGGTCATTGAAGATTTTGATTTTAACTGTTCTGTGAAGAATCTATTTACATTATATCACCTGATTTGCACACCTATCCTCACTGATGAATGCTTAATCCCAGTATTCTTCACTACTTGATCTTCCTCATGACTCCTTGCTTGACAGGGCTGTTGAGCACAAGCACAGGCCTTAGCAGCTTGTGAAAGAGGTCTGAGCTTGTAATCTTTAAGCACATGAACTCTGAAGGCTCACTGTACAGCAAAAAACCACACCTGTCAGCTCCCAGAAGACCTTCTATATCACACATCATGTTATCTTCTACGGCCAGAAAGTTTTCCATCTATGTGCTCTGGAATATCCACCAACAAAACATACAAGGACTAAAAGTTGTTGCAAGATGTTTCAATTAAATCATCCTAATTAAAAGGAGAGGATTTGTTTAAACATGGTTTTAAAACATTGCAATCACTTGAAATAGCTAATACATCTAAGGGAAATGTATAACCATCCTGCTAACTGCTGGAAGGGCAGTGCAGGAGGACACATGCTGTACAGGAGAGCTGTTGATTGCACTGGAAACAGCTTCCTGATACAAATGAGCAGGGAGCTGATAGGGCTGTCCTTACCAGCTCATCCAGCTGATAACATCTGTTGAACCTGTTACTTACAAACAAGGAAGAACTGCTTAGGGATGTGAAGGTTAGAGGCAGAGCTGACTGCAAGATTCATGTGATGGGGAGGAACAAGGCAAAAATCGGGACTGCAGCAGTGGATGTCAGGAGTGTACAGCTTGGTCTCTCCAGGGTTCTGCTTGGAGGAATCCCAGGGGAGGCAGTTCTGGAGAGAAGCATAGACCAGAAGAGCTGGTTGGCATTTAGGGATAATCTCCTCCAAGCTCAAGAATAGTCTATCCTGACAAATGGCAAAACGTGGAATGTTGTCGAATAAGATGGAGGACCTGGTGGCAAAAGATGTGGAAAAGCCTGAGGTACTTAGTGCCTTCTCAGCACAATTCTTCATTGGCAGGACCAGCCTTCAGTAATCCCAGGACCCTGAGAAGCTTAGGGAAGTCCAGTACAAGGAAGGCTTGCTGGAGGAGGATAGAGTTAGAAATCACTGAAATATACTGGGCAGTCACAGTTTCATGGGACTTCATGAGATGCATCCCACAAGTGCTGTGGGGAGCTGGCTGATAACATTGCAAGAACACTCTCAGTGTTCTCTGAAGACTGTGGTGGTCAGGGATGTCCCCAAAGAAAGCAAACATCACTGCCAGCTTCCAGAAGGCCAAGAAACAGAATACCAAGAACTAAAGCCTGATCAACCTCACCTCAGTCCCTGAGAAGATGATGGAGCAAATACTCCTGGAAACTATTTCAAACAAATGAAGGTCAATTGGATTGAGAGAAGTCAGCATGGATTTATGGGAAGGAAATAATTCCTGACCAACCTGACATCTTCCATGATGAGCTCACTGGCTTGGTACACAAAGGGAGAGCAGGGCATGTTATGGATATCAAAAAGGGCTTTTTATACCATCTCCTGTAACATCCTTATGACAAACAGGTGAAGTACAGACTAGATAAGTAGACAGTGAGGAGAATAGAGTATCATCTGAACTTGTGAGCTCAGAGAGGGCTGTGATCATCATGCTGGCCTCCACTGGGTGGCCAGTCACCAGTTGTCCATCCCAGAGATCAATACTGAGTTCTGTACTGTGCAGTGTTTTAATTAATGACCTTGCTGATGGGACCAAGTGCACCTTCAGCTAGTTTGCAGAACAAAAGATTTGTGAGAACTTGCTGGTAGACCAGATGGTTGTAATGCCTATCAGAAGGACCTCAAGAAGCTGAAGAACTGGACCCACAGGAACTGTGTGAAGTACAACAAAAAGAAATGTTAAGTCCTGCACGTGGGGAAGTACAACCAGATGTCCCAGTGCAGGTTGGGGCTGCTCAGCTGGAAAGGTTTGCAGAGAAGGACCTGGGAATTTTAGAAGGCAGTGCAGTTGAGCATTATCCAGCAGTGTGCAGTTGTGTCAAAGAAAGACAGTGGCACCCTGGACTGCATTAGAAGGACAACTGCCAGCAGGTTGAGGGAGAGGATTCTACCCCTCTACTCAGCACCAGTGACACATATTAGGACTCCTGGACCAGTGCTCCCTAATACAAGAGGCATGGGCATACTGGAGAGACTCCACTGAAGAGCAACAGATTATTAAGGAACTGGGGTATTTGGTGTACAGGGAGAGGCTGGGAAGGTGGGACTGTTCAGCCTGTAGAAGACAAGGCTCAGGGGCAACTCATACATCTCCTTAAAAACCTGATTTGGCAGTGTGGGGAGTGGAATAAGGAAGATGAATGCAGGTTCATATCTGTGTTGTCCAGTGATAGGACAGAAGGAAATAGTCATAAACAGAACTACAGGACATTCCATTTAAACTTAGGAATTTTTTTTAATGGCATGAGAGGTCCAACACTGTCACAGATTGCACAGAGAAGCTCTGGATTCTCCAGCCTAGTGGGTAACGAAGACCCACCTGAATATGTTTCTGTGCAACTTGCTCCAGCTGACACTGCTTGACTGTGGTCTGGGAAGAGACAATCTCTAGAGGTGTTGTTCATTGTCAGCAACTCTTTGATTCTATGGGTTGTTTTATGGAAACTGACTGATCAGCTCAACATTGTAATCTGTTTTCTACAAATGAAATCTGCCTGATGATGCTGGAAAAGTTCTTGGTTTCTGGGCCAAGAGTGTAGGCTGGACTCTGCAGTTTGCAAAAAACCCACCTTTGTCTCACATAAACAATTCAAGGGCACTCTAGAAGTGTCAATGGACAATTGTCCCTGTAGCTGATGCCTTCTCTACCATTTCTTCCTTGGTCAAAAGGAACTGGCTCACAGCATAAGTGAGATGCAGCAGACAGTCCCAAGGCAAGCCTTAACTGCAATGGTACACTTGCTCCCATGTGGCTACAACCAGGGAAGCTTCAGCTGTCTGTGCATAGCTCCTTTTCCCCAGGCAGAACAAGAGAGTGTAGTCCTTACAGAGCATGAGCAATGTAAGGAAAGGCTGTTGGGACCATTTCATCCACCATTTCCTAAGAACCTGTGAAATGACAGGTGCTAAACTTAGACCAACAGGAGCCTCCCTTTTCCCATTTCCTTCAGAGGTGCAGAAGAGGTGTGCACAATATAGAGGGGGTATGAAGTCACTTGGTCTGTTCAGCCTGGAGAAGATGAGAGTGAGGACAGACCTCATTGCTGGATACAACTTCCTCAGGGAATGCAGTGCAGGGACAGCACTGACCTCTTCTCTCTGGCAACCAGGGACAGGACCCAGGGAATGGGCTGAAGTTGTGTCAGGGGAGGGTTAGGCTGGAGATTAGCAAATGGTTCTTCCTCCAGAGGTGTTTGGGGACTGAATGAGTTCCCCAGGGAAACTGTCACAGCATCAACCCCAACAGAGCTCCAGATGCACTTGGGCAATATTCTCAGGCACATGGTGTGGTTCGTGGGGATGACCTGTGCTGGGCCAGGAGTTGGACTAGATGATCCTCAAGGGTCCCTTCCAGCTCTGGTTATTCTGTGATTCTCTAATTTTGTGAGTATATTAGCACTGTTACTAATTGTCAGACCAGCACCTATAAATGCAACATAACAGAGGTGGAGCTTCTCATCAGACATACCGTGACACACATTAACACACCGTGCTTTGGTTTCCCCCTTAGGTGCGACTATAAGTGTGATCATTGACGTTAATGTCAATATTTCAGTCATTATTTCTGCCCTGATTGCAATTTTGTACACGCTCGTGGGTGGGGTTTATTCTGTGGCCTACACCGATGTAGTTCAGCTCTTCTGCATCTTCCTGGGACTGGTAAGTTTGGCTTTTCTTCCCTTTCTTTGTTGAGGATTTTGCCCTGAGCACTAAGATGATTGCTGAGGCTTCTTGCCCAGCTTTGATTTTGGAACTATGTCTTCACCGAAGGGGTGAAGAAGCATTATCTCTACTCACAGAGCACTGACTTTAAAAGAGTCTTCATTTGCATCAACGTACATCCTGTGCCTTGAAAACAATGCTGTCCAAGAGGTCTGATTCTCTGGCTTTTTTCCAGCCAGTCTAATAGTGCAGACACTCTTGCAGTTTTTATATCTAACTCAAAATAGGACTGGAACTGACTCCTTTCCTGTCTGTCCATAGGACTGTGGTACAGGCACTGGAAGGAGGCATCAGATGTAGGCACAGTTGATGAAGAAGTCCAGAAGTTCTGGCATTGGACTTGCAAAGCCAGTACTTCCCTGCTTCTCTTTTCTGTAGTTGTCACCTATTCCCACAGCTTAGTTAACCTCCTGGTAGCTTAATTAACTTTCTTGGTTTTTCCCTCATTTCCTTCCCTCATTCCTGGAGATCATAATGTAAGAAGTCTCACTAAATGTCTCACTTGTTTTAATGTGGTAAAATGAAAATCCCCTCATCAGCTATCAATGATATGCTGGTGAGCAGCCTTTTATTTACTGCTGGTCTTTAAGCCCCATATTGAAAAACATCTATGTAACAGGACCCAGACCACAAGGATGCAATCAAAGAAGCTTCTGTCTTTGCCAGTGGCAGACATAGATGGTCACAAATGTGCAGAGAGCTGAGACAGACAAAAATAAATGGGGCAGCTTGAGGTGAAGGAATCAAATGTCCTCTTGGGGACCTGGTGTTCTTTCTCTGCTTTCACCAGAGCTCTTGTGCAGCTCTAGGGAAATTGCTTCAACCAGTGCTCAAACAGGTGATCACTAACTAGCTCTGTGTGTGTCCTCACTCTGTGGCACCTTACTGTGAGGACTAGGACCTTATTTGTAGAAATGTTAAGCATTCCCTGTTGGAACTGACTTAATGGAAATGGTGCTAAATAACCTGGAGAAGCAAATCCAAGTTCCAGCTGGCCACCTCAAATAAGAAGTTATTCCAGATCTTCTTCTCTCCTATCTTTGCTCTTCATCCTTACAGTGGGGAAAATACTGCCTCCTTCCCTAACATGAGTGTTGATATTTGTGAAACATTCAGTTTCTACAGATGGTTTGAATGACAGAAATTCCCCAAATTTTAAATAAATCACAATCCAGAAATGCCTTTCCAGTGAGATCAACTCCTGAACTGCTAAAGACCCTGGTCCTGTGGGAATAACAACATTAAAATCAGCATGAACCTGATGGGAAGGGGAAAGCAAATGAAGGTTGGATAGCAGACTTCTAAGTGGTTGGATATGTAGCTTTATAGCGTTCTTTTACTTCAGGTTGGGCTCTTTATGTAATTTCCCATTTGAAATAAACAGCAGCAATGTCATGTAGAACCCATATTCATAAACTCAAGAATGTCATCAGTGAACCTGGAAGACTCAGTATCTAAATGGTCATGCTCTAGATGAGGTAATTTTACATGAGATGGGACACTTTCACAGTAGATGGCACAGGCATAGCTATCCCAGCCTCTGCTCCAGGCTCTGGGGCACTTTTTATTCCCATTGGCACAGAGCTTTACTGCACATTCCTCTAATGTCTTTCTCTCCTGATCCTTACCCAAGAGGAAGTGCTTGTTGTAATCACTTCTCTTTCATACCCTGACTCCTAATTTCAGCCACAGCTCCTTCCTTCAGCATCCATAACCTCTACCCCAGCCCATCCACATACATCCTTGGTTTTCTCTTTGCAATCTCATGTAGTGTCTCCTTCCCTCCTCACTCTCCTCTATCAACATGTGCAATTCTCATCTCTTTGTCTTGTCTGGTGAGACTTTCCCTGATCCTGCACTGTATCCCCTCTATTTACTGCCTGTTCATCTCATCTCTGTTACTAATTCCCCATTCTAAACTCTGTATTTTCCCAGATAATTCCCAGGAACTGTTCAGGGCTGTCATTTTTGACAGGTAAATGAGTCTAAATGTATGAGTGCAAAACAGGACATGTCAGTAAACTCCAGGGCCATAGAAAGTGTTTGATTTACTAATGTAAAGATAGTCCTTCAGACCATGAAGAGCTAGGTTACTGTCAGGAACTGGAATGGTTCACAAAAGCTCATCATGCAATATTGTACTTATTAAGACCTATTTAGGCCTGGAAAACCTGTGGGATGAGGAAGGGCTGAGGGAGTTGGGTTTGTTTAGCCTGGAGAAGAGGCTCAGGGGTGACCTCGTGGCTCTCTGCAACTCCCTGCCAGGGCTGGAGAGAGGTGGGGGATGTGTGTCCTGCCATGGCTGCAGGGAGAGGACTAGAGGGAATGGCCTTGAGCTGAGCCAGGGCAGAGTCAGATTGGATGTGAGGAGAAATGTTTTCCCTGTGAGGGTGTTGAGGCACTGGGATCTTGCCCAGGGAGGGGGTGGAGTCACCATCCCTGGAGGTGTTGAAGAGGCATCTGGATCTGGCACTGGAGGATCTGGTTTAGGGTTTAGGGGTTCCAGCAGTGACAGGTTAATGGTTGGTCTCCTCCAGCCTTGATGGTTCTGAGTCTATGAACATGAAACATGATCAGTTGGATTGTGGCAACCTGTGTGGTATTAGATATCACTGGATTCTTAAGGATGTTGTGCTTGTGATGGTCTTGGCCATGTAGCACAAAGCCTGGTTTTCATCTCAGTAGGAGCTGCTGAGTTTCTCCTCCATAGGAAGTTAGTGAGTTATACCATTGCAAAATGAGTTGGCAAGTATATGCACAAAAAGTCAGTTGGAAAGGGAAATGAACCTTCTGGCTCAAACTGTCCCTTGAAAGGCTTTTATGGCCTAGATAAAAAACCAGAGACACTGAAAATGGCCAAGAGATCCCAAGAAAACACCCTCAAGGCAGAAAAGTGCTGTCACACTGGGCTAATGGGGGTTCTGGTGGAAGAGTGAGGGGGTTGCAGCAAGCAAACCCCCCTCTTGTCATGATACAGTTTTGTATTGAGTTAAACCAAATGTCTAAGCCTTCAGGTGTGATGTCTCATGCCTGTACACAGGCAAATTATGCTATTACATGCAAATTTATATGTAAATATTTCACTCCTGTGTGGTCC